CCTCGGGACATTCTTGTACGGATCGTCCTAAGCATGAAGGTAATCTGCTTAAGACTGGTAGCAGCTGCTGCCATGCGAGATAGGGCATCCCGAGCCTTCCTCCTATCCTCCAACTCCCTTGAGAGTAAGCCTCCAACCACAACACCAGTGAGCTTGTTAAACTCACTTCCGAATACGTCAGCATCCATCAGACTAAGGACCTCTAACATAGCTGATACCATGCTCACACGGATGGTAACAAAAACATCCTGCTGCCCCCCACGACCATGATGTGCTTGCTTCTCATTACCAACGGCTCCGGCTTCATCCTCAACCTTCTGTTTGGTATACACTAAACGCCTAAGCATTGGTAGTACTGTGGACTTGAGGTTGCCGATCTTCTCCGACAGATCATCTCGCTGGGATATCCCTTGTACGGCAGCTGATACTCCCTTCAAAAGGGCCTTCTCCATCTGCTCAGGGCTCACACCATGTCTACCAATACCACGATTCCTCAACCCCTTACGGCTCACACCACCCGGTTTCAGCTGACCTCCTAGCCATCGGAATATGCCGATGACCCTGGTCCAGCTAAGGTCCTTTGCTGCTAGCTTCATGATACCAGTTGATACATCTACAAGGTTATGGTCATCAGGGCTGTTGGTAATATGATATCGTGCTAATGGTAGTAGTAGATGTGATATAGTGGACTTGCTGAGCTCATCTCCAAGAGCCAGTATCCTCACTAAAGCCTTGTGCTGTCTCGACTTCTGTAGATGGAATAGATCATCCAAAGTACCCTGTTCAGCCAATGGTATCAACTCTACATGCAGTAGATCAGCCCAAGTACTGCCAGACTCATCCTCAGTACTACTACCACCACTATGCTCTCGGTCCCATCCTTGGGCTACAGCAAATGGTGCCATATTAGTGCAGTATGCAGCTATGATCCGGATACCACTGTTAACCACCACTTCAGAGGGATGATCCAAGAGCTTTCTGGTCCAGGGTATAATGAGGCCCCTCACTAGAGCCAATACCGTAGTGTCCTCACTCCTATCATTACTGCACTTGCATAGGGCATCCTCAATGAGTCTCCTAACACCAAAATCACAGGTAGGTTCCCGTAATTGCCATAGCATATGCCTTAGAACAGGTGCCTGCACCCACCACCAAGCTGATAGACCATCAGAGGGTGGGCCTAGTATAAGATTCAAGCCATCGACTTGCTTGTCGAAATCAGGTTCACCACCAAGCTTGTTAACAGCAGTAAGCTGTTCTAATAGATCCGAGACCTTCTCTGTAGCATTATCCGTCCTACCCATACGACGATAGACAACAGTAAGCGCCAATGCTATCTGATGCCGCGTACCCAGCCCTGCTACTGTTGATAGACCCCTCGTTAGTACACCTGATACATGAGTGGTGTCATCAGTAGGAGGTGTCCACATCTTCAAAAGTCCA